TTTCTTGATAGAAAGAGACTGAGCCTCAACAGTGGCACTTAGGGCCATAGTGTGATATAGGCTCTACACAATCAATAATAACAATAACAGTGTAAATAGAATGGAAAGAAAACTAAGGAACTAACAACGAAGGGAAAAGTATAAACCTCTACAGCACGAACTGGAGCAGAAGGAAGAAGCTGGTCTAGCTCCATGTTGCCCATAATTTCTTCATCTTTGGGCAGCCATACTCCTCGTGTAACGGTCAGCGTTGCAGAAGGGTCTGTAATAACTGAATCCCCAGAGTGAAGGATTGATTTATCCGCCCTAGAAAAGGTAGGCCTCCAAGGCTCACCTTTTTCAGCTAGGACAAAAGCCTTCACCTCCTCCTCAAGGTCAGCTTCTCTAGTTTCTTACCCTTGATTTTTAAAGGAGTAACTCCCTTGGTTTTTGTTGTTGAAGAAGGGTTCAATTTCGCCTTTTTGTGCGAAAGAGCTTCATCAACCTCTTTTTCCTGCTCAGTAGAGCGTACAATGGCAAGAGGCTCATCTTCTGTAGCTTTCTTTTTAAGGGTTTCAGCCGTTTTCTTCTCTTCCTTAATTTACGGAAAGCTGTCAAATAAGGGGAGTGCCAAATCCATAAGGTCAGCAGCTACAGCACTGAAGGCAATTTCCTTGAGATTGGTTGAAGAAAGTAACTCCTCAATTGAATGAGGATCGTTCCAAACTTGTTTTTTGAGAAAAACAAGTCTCTTTTTGGCTGTGGAGGAAGGGAACGTCGCTGAAAAAACACCAAGAAATTCATAAGTATGACGAAAGAGTAAGACTCGACATGGGAATCAACTAGAGCACTTGTCATGAATGGAGGGAGAACATTCTATACCTAACTTCCCAAATTTGCGTGGGATTGGGAGTTTGCTCGATTAAGACACAACCCATTTCTCTTTAACAATTATCATCATCTCTTTCCATTTCTTCTCAGAATTAGGCAAGTCTGTACATATCCTCTATTGAAGAGAGGAAGTAAAATAAAAAAGGTCAGGCTCGGTCCTATGCCTGGAGATGGTGTAGGTAATCAATAGGTCCGCAAGAGTCAAGTCAAGACTCTCTAGCCTTCGGCGGACCAAAAGTGCTGAGACTATCCAAAGAAAGTTAAGGTTTACTTGAAGAGGGGTAAGACCTAACTTTTTGAAGACTAAGTGAAATAAGGGGTGAAGAGGAAATTGAAGAGCATTAAGGTGCCCAACCGATAAGAGCAATTCGTTTTCTCCGACGCCCTCGCTGGAATTGAAATCGGCCTTCTTAGGGTATTCAACAATTTCTACCCCTTCAGGAATTTCAAATTCCTCCATTACAAACTTAATGGTGAACTTAAGACGCCGAATAGACAAAATCGTCTTTCTCTCATCTTTGATGAAAACACTATCTGACCCGGAAGTTGATACTTCAGCTTGTGATAGGGAATCCTCCATTTGAATGATTGAATTGTTCGCGGGTGTAAGGGGGTCAGAAATCCTAGGGGGAGGAACCTTAATGAGAATAGGGGAAGATGAAGGTGTGGACTCAGAGTCTATAATCTCTATATGGTCGTGAGTGGGTGAAGTACTCATGGTATGAAATCAAAGAAATAGGTGAAGAACTAACCTGGAGTCATGACGAAGCAAGGAACACAGTGAGTGCAATGAACGCAGCAGGGGCAAAAGTAAGTTTTGAGGAAGCTCTTTAGCCAGAATTTCAATAGACTCTTCTCGAACCACCTTTTGTAAAATTGGCAATTGTGCAACTTTAATTTCCTTTTAATTAGGAGCCATAGTCCAATTAAAAAGGGAATTGGGAGCAAAGTGTGGAGGGAAAAATCCCCTTCTATTAAAAGTCATCCACGTAGCCACAATAGAAGTTTTATTTTTAGTCTCTTGATGGGTTACAAAAGCCCAGCCCTGTTTAAGCCCGGATAAAGACACCAACAGCCCAAGGTCGCTAATGTTGAACTTCCGACCCATTAACAGAATCATTTGGATCAAGTTGCGTTCAGCCCAAATTCATTTAAAAAAGGAACCAGTCCTGCTAATCAAAGGATTCATCATAGAAGAAAAACTTTGTGCAAGGAAGGTTTGGCATGGAAGGAATTGTGAAAAGGAAAGAACTCTATTTGTAAATAATGATGTATATAGAATGAATTGGGGGACAAGTAAGGCGAGTCATACCATAATTCCACTACATTTTTGTATATAAATAGAGGCCTAGACCTCCAATAAAGATCATCGAGCAATATACGTTTTTCTCTAAATAATTCTTGTTGCTTATTACTTTACTTTGAGTGAGTTGTATTATTTCTTTTAAATTCTTTTATTGAGAGAAATTTTGCACCTACAAATTATTTATATAATATAATTTTATTTCTAGATAAGAATTTTATTTTTTTATGATTATTTGAAATTATTATTCATTGTTAAATTGAAATATTTCATTGAGTGAATTAATGTTTTTATATTATAAATATAAAATTGCTATGAGTACCATATATTGAGGGCAAAAATGTAATCTGTACAACTTTCAGACTTCAGTTTTTGTATATAACAAACAATCTTAATGAATTCATTACTTAAAATTAAAACATTATCAAACGGATTTTTTAATTAATACATTCAGCACTTAAAATTTCAGTACTTAAAATTTAGTATTTAAAATTTTTAGTGCATAATTTTTAGTTTTATCAAACAGCACCTTACACTTAGCTCATTTAAATTTTGTCATTGTTATTCTAGCTCTAACTTGGTGTGGCTTTGGACACAAACAAACAAAATAATGACGTGGAATTGTTAAATGGGATTCGGACAATTTATCGATCATTTGGATCGGACAGAATATCATTATTATGTTCGTAATAATATTTTATTAGTCAGAGACTCAAAGTTGTTAGAGACATGTCCCATTATAAAGTTAGAATCTATTTTCTATCATTGATGTAACACAACTTTTGTTTTGAAATTATATTTAATGTTTAAATTTATAAAAGAAAGAAGAAAAAAAAATTGTTTTGAAATAGAGTTGCCTATGCTATTATATCTATTTTTAACACACAAGAACAGCCACAAAACCATAAATTGCCAAATATGCCTGATTATGATGAAAAATATATTATTTTCTTCTTTTAATATAAAAATTTTGATGAATAAAAGTAGTGAATAATTCTTTTTTTTTATCTTAACATAGATCTCCTTCTAATGATCCCTTTGGTAAAAATAAAAAATAAATAAAAGAGGAGTTTTCTTCCCTCTTTCTCTCACCCCAAAGGAGAAATTATTTATAATCCTCGTTGCAATGATGAAGTGATGTAACGGATTGTTACAAAAACTCTATCATATATATATAAAGTTAATTGTCAATTAAAGTGTACAAATTAAGCCACTTAAACCCCAGAAGATGACCTATTCACACAATGATATGTATGCTTCAATCTCACGACAATAATAGTCTTACGTGCGTTAGAGGTGTTCGGACTAATATTGGTAGGGTGTCATGTACAAAGTTTAGTAGTTAACGAGAATTGTGGTTCATAACATACCATTACATGTGTTAACAAGAAGTCGTTAACTTTTAAGTTTCTCATTATAGTTCTTATAATTTGTTTTAACATTTCAAGTTTTTTAGAATTCATTTTTAATGAGAAATATTTGTATATAGTCGAAGTATCGATAACTTGGTATCACATACTTATTAATAATGATAAAACTCATTAAAATAGATGAATTACTATTAATGTAACAAGATATAATTGATTCACACAATTAATGATATGGTACTCCAGATTCATGATATTATTTTTGTTCAATTAAATTTACTGATGTTGTGGAGCCACCAAATCAGTGGCTTGAATTTGGTTGGTGGAGCCACCAATTCAGCCACTCAAATTTACTTAATTAGGCTACCGGTATTAGCAGGGACGAGTCACCATATAGTTAGTAGGTTCTATTGCCCCACTGAATTTTATTTTATTTATTTATTTTTTTTTTTTGTCACTATTATATACCACTAATTTTTATTTTTATTTTTAATTATATATTTATAAATTTTTTACTTTGCCTTCTCTAAAATTACAATATATATATATATATATATATATATATATATATATATATATACTAAATTCAATTTTGCCCAGACCCCCTCCCGCTCCCGTAATAGAATCCACCAAATTGATGGTTGGAAATCTAATTTAATTTTTTTTTAATTTTAAATCTAAATCACGAATTTAGTATTCCCAAACAAGGCTAATTTGGCTATCACGGTCAAAATAAAAAGTGTGACTAAATCCATTTATCACTCATTTTGAATTAATTTGTGAATTTTGACTATTTGATACATTATTAATTGTTTGTCAGTTAAAATGGTCAAAGATAAATGGTCCTTGAGACAATATAATCAAGTCGACACAAAAGTTTAGGTACTATCCTAATTCGTTTGGAGGCCCTTGCCACGTGTCAGGGGTGTGACAATCCTTAATCAGGACCATCTCAAGCTTAATTAAACATTTATTCTTATATATATATTGTCCTTGAGCAACTTAATCAAGTGTCAATATTATGTTTATGAGATCAATTATATATATATATATATATATATATATATATATATATATTAGTAATATAAAGTCAGGAGTGGACCTTTCTTACCATTTGACAATTGGGGATTAGTCTCAATTCGTTTATTGTCTTTGTCCCCCAATCCTAATCAGACGTTTAGGATAAAGCCAAATGGTTTTAGGACCACACTTATCATCTAAACGTAAGAGTATAATATATATATATATATATCACATACTCATTGCACACACATATAGACAGTTATGACTATACATATATATGTGTGTGTGAGTGCATGTAACATATGATCACTAGATATTACGGGTACATACGCGTGAGTCATTTGATGAGGAGATGGTGATTGTCAACTGCCGAATATAAACTCACCATCGTAACCTCTCTCTCTCTCTCTCTCTCTCTAAACATCATAAGTGCCATCATGAAGAGCTCTCACTCTTCATTATCCACCGCCTCCGGCCACCGGCTTTTGGTTTTGACGACTTTTCTCCTCCTACTCCTCCTTATAGTCGCATCATCAAACTCGACGTCGACAAAAACCTCTTGTCCAGATCAGCAGCACTTCCGCCGCCGCCGCCACCACCAGTACCATTCTTGCAATACAATCTCCTCCTCCGCAGCGCCGCCTCCTATGTGCTTTGAACGTCAAAAGATCAGCTTCTGTTCGCCTCTTGGCCCTCTTCCACCGCCACCGCCTGATGATGACGAAATTGACCCAAGATACGGAGTAGAGAAGAGACTCGTCCCCTCCGGCCCCAACCCTCTTCATAACTGATCGAAATTACCCCATTTATGATCATCCAAGCAAGAACCCATCTCTCTCTCTCTCTTCCTCTCTGTCTCTCTCTCTCTCTATATATATTCATCTTTTTCTTCATTTCTTGGTATATTGATTTCATGATGAACTCTATGTTAGTCCCTTTTCCTTTCCTTTCTTTTGCTTTCCTTTCTGGATATCTCATGGTCATGGTCAGTACTGAAGGAAAGAGTTACATGGTGTTCTTGGGTTACGTCTAAGAGTACTTGTTGTTTGTAGAGGATATTGCTCTTTCCATTCTTGTTTTTGGATTCACATGTATACTGTAATCACATTAGATGGAGGTACGAGCAAAAACGAGCGTGGAAATAGTGTATTATTGGGGTGTGGTTCAATTTTGGGTGTGGGCGCGCAAGTCAGGTGGGAGTTCAAAAGAAGCCCATGAGTTTCATTAAATTTGCATCTGTATTTTGGAATAATATGCCAATTCAATGGTTCGGTTTTCTTGTCAAGTTCAAATATATATTTGGTTTATATATATATACACACACACAGACACATTTCCATCTACATTAATTGTATGTATGTATAGTTCTTGTGATGTGTCTTCAATGAATATCAATTAATGTTTTTCCAAATTTACTAACGGGTGGGGACCCACTTATTCATACTTTCTCACAATGCCTTCAGCATGGTTGGGTCACTCTGCTTATTCGGGTGGGTTTACCCAGACACTTCCGTGTCACAGGTTTAGCTTGACACCAGATCAAAGATTGAGTTTGGCACAAATACCAGGACATTTATTCATTTATCTAAAAACTTAAGTTATTGGATAGTGATGCACACTCCCTAATTTATACCCATTTCAATTTTTATTCAAATCTGATGTGAGACAAATTTCTTTCCTTATAACATTTACTATATTTGGTTGGGCTAACGGACTCGGATTCTGATATTCTCCTTTGAAGAGGACAATTTATACCATACAAGCTAGTGCTCATTGGTTAATTCTGCTGTGGTTCTTTGTATTACTTACTACTTGGACCTAAAAAAAAAAATATGACAGTGAAAGAAAACCAAACATTGCCTTTACTTAATGGGATTAGGATGCTTGGGTATTATAAAACTAAGACCCTTCTGAGTGCTCGGCTTGAATCAATCCACAAATGATTTTCAATCCAAAAAAATCAGACATGACCAATCATTTGATGCCATTTTTTTTTTTTTTTTTTGAACTATGAGCCACGAAGTATAAATTATGTAGCATCCGGTCCAATTATGGGTTTGAAAAGTGGCCAGGTCCGACTTGCGGCCCATCTTGGCCCATCAGTCCCTCATTTTTATCCAATTATTCATTACAATCTTTGTAAAAATGATTGGGTGCAACAGACTGTTACAAACCTTTCAATAAAATAAAATAGACCTACAATAGAATAAAAAAATTGAAATGTATGTTTTGGTGGAGTGTTTGTAGTCGCTGTCAGCTACAATGAATAATTTTTCATTTTTATCCCCTAAAATACTATTCACATTATTATTATTATTATTATTATTAAAGATAAATAAAATGTAGGGGAAAAATCACATAATCCCGTTATATTATCATTTTCGTTCAAAAAACTCCCACTAAAATTAAACACCCCCTTGAACTAATAAAACTCATCAAGTTGTCATAATATTGACACATTAAACCATAAGGAAAGAATACATAAGGAAAATTAAATATTCCCCTATTTAATTGTGGTCCCTTCCTGCACCGTCCGGCAAAGCAGGAGAGAGAGAAAGAAGGTTATTTCACTCCCTCATCATTTGCGTTTTGTTAGTTTAGGAGAGGGTGGTGAATTTTAGTGGAACTGTTTGGACAAAAATAATAGTACAGGGGTTATGTGTTTTTTCCGCTAAAATGTATTATGGAAAAAAGAATTGTACAAAGGAGGGGCAAAAGCCCAATGGGCCAAAGGCCCAAGAGAACAAACAGAGTGTAACAAAAGCCTAACGGCCCATACAAGTCCACCCAACTCCACTAGCCGTCATTCCTCCTACTCAGAAAAATTCACCTTTGTAATACTAGTAATCCTAAAAATAAAAAATAAAAATACTAGTTATCATAATATTGACACATTAAACCATCACAAACTCGTGTTAAGGCATGATCTTCAATGTTACATAATGTTTTTTTTTTTTTTTGGATTGAAATAAAATATTTTGCAACGGAATGGATTCATTTATTTTGTTTTGTTTTATCGTGTGTTGCATACTAAACTTAACTATTAGCATGTTTAGTGTTATGGTAAAATAAATAAGGTTGCAAATTAACTCAGTTGTTCATGAGTAACTTGAGATTTTTTGTTGAGTAATCGAGCTAAACTCAAGGTCAATCTCGGAACTTGTGTTAATAAACAAGCTGATACCACATCGGAAGCAAACATTCTAATTGTCAAGCAGAACATAGTTTCAAAATATCACAATAACATCACAAACGAGAACACCAATCAAAAGCATGAATACTAAATTAAGTAATTGTTTCATATACAACTAAACACTTGATACAATGCGAGACCAATGGATAATGAAAGAAAAAAAAATTACACAAGGTAAATTCAAGTCTCAAGGGGAATAAAACATACCCTTTATCGAGCCAGTCTTTCAATTTAAATATTTTGTAATCAAAACAAAAATTAAGATATAAGAGACATATAATGAAATATTACCATTGTTTCAAAATAATTCTTCCACATTGTATGAGTACAAGTATTAATTCAAGCTGTGAACTAATCAATTTAAAAAAAAAAAAAAAATGAAACATAAAAGCGGTAGCAGTACACGACGAAAGTAAAACTGGAATACGAAAACGAAAAAAATTAGAATTAGTGAAAATTGAAACACAATCAAGACAAGGAATGAAAGGTGGATAGAGAATTATTACTCAAATTACTGAGCAGCGATATCTTTGTGGCAATCTGAAATAAACAAAAATAATAGTAATAGTCTTTTATAAAGTAAAATAACAAGAGACAAATTTATAAACAAAATAATAATAGGAGTCTTTTATTTGGAATTGAATCCTTTTGCGATCTTGAAAATGGAATTGGAAAAGAAATTGAAATTGCAATTAAAATAGAATTACTTTCGTTTGAAATAAATTAGAATTTAAAATGAAATGAATTACTATGAATATGCGAAGGAGAAGGAGAGAAGTCACGAAACCAACGACTTTGCTTGTCTTCCTTCCTTTTTAACTATAATTCTTATCAATTAACAAAATTTATCTCACTTGAAAAAAAAAAGAGAGAGAGACAATTATGCCCTTAATATAAAAGAACGCAGCTTCAAATGAAGTAGTTTTATAATGGAAAACTACTTCCATCACCGAATGTATGAGATATCAATGAGCCAATGTGATTTTTTTTTTTTTTGGTAAACTCTCTACCTATTTCTAGTTAAATACTAATATATACCACGTATAATTTCTAGTTAAATACTAATATATACCACGTATAATTTCTAGTTAAATACTAAGACATAATTTGTAGTGGCATCTTAGCAACATACACAAAATTCTAAGATATACTAGGCATAACTTAACATAACATGAGCACAAAATACTCTTTTATTTTAATTCCATCTAAAAGGAAAAAACATAGCGATATAAAAAATGGTAATATCAAAGAAAAAAAAAACAGAAAATTTATTTTTTGGTAGGGATATATTATTAAAATAATTATAATAATGCAACAAAAAAATTATCTACAAAAGAAACTATACCTCCTTAGATAAAATCCTAAATTACTTTCTTTTACTGTAAAAGTCATGAAATTCATCGAAGTGATAGGTGGATTAGGAAAAACGTGTTTAAGAGAGCACAAACCCACATAAAGGAAACACGAAAAAGTCATGCCGATCAAAACCATAAATTCACAGCCATCACCCCACTTTTGCCACCACGCTACCACCATCACCGAATGTAACAACACATTAGAAACCCTCAACGTGAACCAATGAACAACCATTTGGAAACTCAGAGAAACATACAACACCCACACTGTCAAACCAAATTGAACATGTGATACTCCTAATTTCTATGTATAAGTTGGCCAGGCTTATACCTAATACCTAAAAATTAGGAGATATAAAAAAACATTTGATAATATACCAGTATGGAATACAAGAGAATAATAACAAAAGAAATAAAGACGGAAATGAATGATATTCTTTAATTAAATCCAACCATCCATAATATCTAGTAAACCATTAAAACTCCATTTATTGCAATTCGGGAATTCCGCGTATCAAGGATTCCTAAATCCAAAACCCATATACAAAATTTATAATCCATAAAGTCTAAAATAATAAATGATAAGTCTCAACTTTTAAATAATCGGGAGAGTACACAATGAAGAAAATCTCTAAAATGTCGAGTCATCAACCTTGTGGCTGGAACTGACGTGACCATATTACCCTTTGTGTTCTTGGGTTCGAATCATTATAAGGTGAAGGAGAGGAGTGAGTTGACTCTAAATGAGTCTAAAGGGAATCTATTTAAATCATCATAGAGCCATATAAATTCATTTCGTGTAATTCTAAATGCAAAGACAATGTTGTCACATAATTAGATTTTTTCGATTTAAAAGATTTTCGGAATACTCCGTACTAAAATAGTCATAACTTCCTTTACTGATGAAACTTTTGAGTGGAATTGATACATTTGAAAAGTTAACTCAAAATCCCTAAATTTAGACTCAAATTTGACCCAATTCAATTCGGGTTCCTTTCTTATTGTATTTGTAGCCTTTTAAGTTATTCTTTTTTCTATTTGGATTCCTGTCAAAAACCATCAGAGGCCCCATTTGGCACACAGCTTATGGGAACACCTGAAAAGCTCCTCTCAAATGCATAAGGTGTTTAATAGAATGTTACTGCATTGATTAAAAAAAAAACCCTTCAACTTTACAAAAAATAAGCAAGAATAAAATTGTCTAAAGAAAAAAATTACCTAAAATATACAATCTGCTAAAGCT